AGCAAGGTCAACATATCCCTTTTTCTTCAAAATCCTCTGGGGTGTTGCAGCTTTAGTGAGTTTAAAAGCTGAATATTGCTTTCCTCAAGAAACCGAGCTTTTAATCATATAAATGGCAATAATAGGTAACACCTATAGAGCGCTTCACTAGGACCAAGCACTGTTCTATGTACTTTATGTACAGTAACCAGTTTAATCTTCATAAGAATGTTAGGAGGAAAATATTATCGCCCTTATTATCTTCATTTTATAGATGAGGACACTGAGGCATGGAGGATTTAAGTTATCTGACTGATGACTGTAGCCCACCAGACTCCTCCATCCATGGGATTCTCCAGGCAAGGATACTGGAAGTGGGTTGCCATGCCCTCCTCCAGGGGATCTTCCTGATCCAGGGATTGAACCTGTGTCTCCTTTGGCTCCTTCATTGCAGGCAGATCCTTTACTGCTAAGCCATCAGGGAAGACCTGAAATCAGGGTTGCCTATATATAAAATTTGCTTCTTTCTATACAGCTGTACTTGCTCCTGTGATAATCAGATGTAACTGACTGTACACTGTTATTTTCCTTTGCAGTTTCATTGAAAATAAGGATGTACACATAAATTGTCCTTCAATAATTTACCACAAAATGTTTCTCTGGTTGCCTGAAATCATACATTTCTACCTCTGATAGGTATTTGGAGTTTCCCTGGTGGCTCAGACGGGCTTTCCTGGTAGCTTAGCTGGTAAAGAATCTGCCTACAATGCAGGAGACCCTAGTTTGATTTTTGGGTCTACCCACTACACTATTCTTGGGCTTCCTTGGTGGCTCAGCTGGGAAAGAATCTGCCTGCAATGTGGGAGACCTGGGTTTGATCCCTGGGTTGGGAAGATCCCCTGGAGAAGGGAATGGCTACCCACTCCAGTATTCTGGCCTGGAGAATTTCATGGACTATACAGTCCATGGGGCCGCAAGGAGTCAGACACGACTGAGTGACTTTCACTTTCAATGGTGGCTCAGATAGTAAAGAATCTGCCTGCAATGCTGGAGACCTCGGTTCGATCCCTAGGTCAGGAAGATTCCTGGAGAAGGGAATGGCAACCCACTCCAGTATTCTTGCCTGGGAAATCCCATGGACAGAGGAGCCTGACAGGCTACAGTCCATGGGGTTGCAAAGAGTTGGACACAACTAATCAACTAACACTTTACTGATAGGTTATTAATACATGCTATCTATGGACTGATAGGTTATTAATACATGCTATCTATGGCTGAGTCGCTTTGCTGTGTACTTGAAACTGTCGCACCATTGTTAACTGGCTACATTCCAATATAAAACTAAAAAGCTAAAAATAAATAAATTTCTACCTCTGATTTACAGACTGAATTGACAGAGGGCAACAGAGAGAGACAGACAGATCAAGCGACAAAAGCTATAGTGCGCGTGTCCAAGCAACCAGAAACGCTTGGCTGAGGAAGATTTCTTCTTACCCTGGCAGGCCGGGGACATTCCAGTCGGGCGCCTCTGTGCCTCTGATGTGGAAAGCAGCTCAAATTCCCACACAAGAGGGGAATGTTTACCAGTCTGGGAACATTCTGGGTACTCAGGGAAGAGGGTGATAAGGGATCCCTTCATCTTTGGGCAAAGGAGAAGGTTGAAAATCTAATAAAAATCATACAGTTAGCACTCTCTCTTCCCCCTCTAGCAAATGCCTCACTCAGATTTATATATCATTTCAACATACTAGAAAATCTATAAATCAACCAAGAAACATTGGCCAAGTGTCTCCTGTGATTAGCCTATGTGCTCAGAGTTTACATAATGCCCTTTAGCAGATTAAACTCTTGTAAAACTAACAGGTGAGACCTTAGAAACCTTTACATGCCAGAATTTGTGTCACCGAACGTAAGTGTAATAAACTGAGAAGGTAAGCTCCCTGAATGATGGAAAATGAAAGATAAAAAATGTAAAAGAAAAGACATTGAGAAAGTCTGACACCATAGTCACAGTAAGGCCAGTGTGGTTGACTAAATAAAACGCACCAGTCATTACTATAACCCCCTTTTAATACATCTTAAAATCAATCTTTTTCATACCAAGTGAAAAACAAAGACACGTGAATACCTTTCTAAGGCTAATATAGATTTTTTATTTAAAAAAATGCGAATACTATATACCTTTCCCTGGTTATGTGTACCTCTGCTATTCATTCATTTCTTCACTCACTTCAACAAAGTGTTGACTGGATGAGGGTGGGGGCCAGCACTGTTGCAAGGGATTGGGCTGTGAGGATGAATAGAAAGTTGTTCCTGCTGTCTTGGTTCAGTGTAAGCACTCAATGAGTAGCAATAACTACCATGAAGACAGAAAGAAACGACCATCTGTGCTGAAACACAGGAAGTAGAATTTAAGGAAGGGTGAGATAAAGTAGGAAACTACTCTGGGCTCAATCGTTCAGTCATGCCCAACTCTTCGCTACCCCATGGACTGTAGCCCACCAGGCTCCTCTGTTCATGGGGATTTCCAGGCAAGAACACTGGAGTGGGCTGCCATTTCCTTTGGCAGTCTAAATACCTGGGCCCACATTTCCTGGTCTGGGACTACTGTTTCTTCTGGCACACACTCCTGCCCTCTACTCCCTCCTGACACTTTTCTCACTACCTTTCTCATCATCTTTTTTTTCCCCCTCCCACAGCAAAGGCAGCACAAAGTCAAAGGAGCTCTTGCAGGACTTCCCCGGCGGTCCAGTGGTTAAGAAGGCACCTGCCAACGCAGGGGACACAGGTTTGGTCCCTGGTCTGGAAAGATTCCGCATGCTGCAGGGCAGCTAAATCTGAGTGCCAACTGCTAAACCTGTGCTCTAGAACCCACAGCTGAAACAAGAGAAGCCACTGCAATGAGAAGCCAGGGCTCCACAACGGCAGAGTAGCCTGTGCTCACCGCAACTAGAGAAAGCCCCTGCACAACAACGAAGACCCAGCACAGCCCAAAATAAAGAAACATTTTTAACTGGTCTTGGGTCGATTAGGGGAAGGGGGAAACCATTTGGGTGCCATACCAGGTCCCTTATTCTTGAGCCATGGGAGAAAGGAAGGACTGGAATCTGATGAAAAGAGGCTTTAGTTGCAGAATCATTTGTAAGCTGGAAAGGACCACAAAGGCCATCCTTGCAACTATCCACTTTACAGTTGGGGACGCTGAGGCTTAATGACTTATCCAAGGCCACACCCAATTAGTGACATCGGTGGAGCTAGAACTCAGGCTTCTTTACAAGACCTCAGATGGGAGACTCCATCACTGCCTTCGTCAGTCTTTTCAGCGTTATGTTCCTGAGAATCAGGCAGTGCTTCAACTCTGGTTCTCCAAAGAAATGAAGAACAGTGGATTAAACTAGTCACCCTAGAGTCTTCTGTTCCTCAGGATAACCACGCCATGACTGTGACTCAAAGGACTTCTTTTCTCATACCTTTTGTCATTTTTGCTCTTCCCAGAAGACTGATGTTCCTTTCTATCCCTTTGAAAATATGACACCCCAATCTGAACTCAGAGCTCTAAAGATCTGTTTGATGATGGAAAATAATGTCTTTGTGCCCTGGTTTTCAGTGCGTCCTACTTTGACTTTTTATTTTTGCTTGTTATTCAGTTTTCAGAACCACCTTGCTTGTTTTCAGTGGGTCGGTAATGACCTTGGGAGATTTACATTTTGATTTATTTCTGTAAGTGTGTCCTACTAAACACTGTCCTGTTTGTATGATGGCCTGTCTCCTCCCCACACCTCGCCCCTTGTGTCAGCTTGTCAGTAATGAACAGGTGGTCCATACGTGTCAAGAAAACTAATCACCTTCTAACAGGATTTGGAACGGAATTAAGGCGGATCTTGTGCCCTTCCTGTTCCAACTTTAGCAGCTCAAGGTCCATGACTGCTTAGAGATTAGCTGGTTGGCAACTGCACCTGGTGGCATCTCAGAGTCCTGGTTCTCTCTCCAGGCCCTAGGCAGTGAATTTTTTGAGAGCTTTCAATCCGCGAATTCCTTGGAGAAGCAGTTCGGGCATGTTGTTGAAACTGACCAACTCACCCCAGGACGCCCAGTGAGGCCAACGCATCTCCCATTTTTGCAGGTGATGACACCGGGCAGAACGCCGCCAAGTCGTCGGGTTCATCCAGCCCGACAGGTTTCTGCTTCTGGACACCTCCTAAACCTCTGCGGTTTGAACGCCGAGGTGTGTCAAGCTGCCGCGGCGCTGCCGGAGAGCGCTGAGAAGGGGTAGGGGCCGAGCGAGGTCTATATTGACCGGGCGGCCTTCGAGGAGTTCTTCCGGCCCTCCCAGCGGCTCCGGGGCGAGTCCACAAGTTCTCAGCCCTCACTTCCGAGCAAGCAGCTCGACCCTCCTCCGCCTCCCTGCTCCTCCCGCGCGCTCCAGCCCGCACCTTGCCTGCGAGCCGCCCCACCTGCGCGCTCGCGGGAGGCCGGGGCGGAGCCTCGGGTCGGGACCCATGACGTCACCCCAGCGAGGGAGGCGGGGCTGTGGGAACCGCAGTGCAGCGCAGAGGGGCGGGGTGGGGCGGGGCCTGCGGCGCGTGACCTGGCTGCAGGAGGCAGGAACCGGGAGAAAGGTGTAGGGGGGCCGGGAGCGGCTGACTCCTGAGTCCGGGGGCGGGGCGGGGAGTGGCAGGGCCCGGGCTGCGGGCGCCCCGGCTGAGCGCTAAAGCGGGTCAGGCTAGCTCCTGCCCTCCCGGTCCTTTCTCCTCCTTCCACCTGGGCCTCCGCGTGGGAACGCGCACCTGGCAACCAGCGGCCGCCCTCCGCCGCGCCCCCGCCTTCTCCGCTCGGGCCGGGCTCCCCGAGCCAGCCCCCGGCGCCGCGCTCGCTGGAGGCGGCCACGAGCGCTCGCTCGTTGATGCCGTTTTGGGGGTGACCCGGCGCGGCGGCGGCGGCAGCGGCGCCTCCAGGTGGGGTGCGTGGGGGCGGGGGGAGGTGTGTGAGTGGCCGCGGCTCGGCCGGACTTCGAGACCTCGCGCGCAAGCTCGGATTTCGGGGGCGCTGGAGGAGACCGGCCCGGCTGCGCGGGAGCCGGAGATGTGGGAACTCAGGCACCGGGGAGGCGGCGGCCCCGGCCCCGGGGGAGAGGCGGCGTCGCCACCCCGCGAGGGAGAGGCGGCCGGCGGCGACCACGAAACCGAGAGCACCAGTGACAAAGTAAGTGGAGCCCGAGAGGCGCAACCCCAGCGTCCCAGGCTGCGTCTCGTGGGGGCCGGGACACCTGGGAGGGAGGGAGCGAGGGTGGGGCCCCGCCGAATGTCAGGTGAAGCTGCCGGCCGCGCCGCGCTCCGCCCCGGCTGACTTCAGTGGGAGCCGGACCCTAGCGACGGTGCGCTTCTCGGGGTGACCGCGGCCGCTCCTGGGAAGGCTGCAGGATTCAACTTGACTCCAGTTTACTTTCTGCGATTCCAGTCCCTCCTCCCCGGGGTCTGGGGCCGACGCTAGAGCCGGGATGGTCCCTCCCACCCTAAGAGTTCGCAGAGTCTAATAGCCGCGCCTCCCACCTCTTCTCCGGAGAGTTAGGACTAAACTTAAGACACGCACCTTCGCTTCTAACCTGTCATCGGACCCTGAAGCTCGGCTTCTCGCGCTCCTCCATCAGCAATTTCGTTTCCTCTGTCCTTTCTCAGAATCATAGATTTCAGAGGTTTGACCCCATTGTGACCCTCCAGCTTCTTCTGAGTCCGCGGCAGACAATGCACTTCTACCAGCGGATTTCATCTGACCTGATAACGTGAATTTATAAGGACTTTTAAAATTTCCATCTCTACAGATTGCCTTTACTTTACCTTGAAGAATAAGTAGATGTAATGCTAGAATGCTTTTTAAAAAGTTGGAGAGAGACAGATTTCAGCTTATTTGGTAATACAGTAGTGCAAGTAGAAATTTGGGCAGGGGGGAATCCAGTTTTACAACTTTTTTGTCCTGGACAGTTTAGGAAATTGGGCCAGGCAATAAGATTGTTTTATAAAATCTTCTATTAAATTTCATTTTATCTTAGAAACTCAAAGCACGGAGACTAGTTCTGGAAGCAATCTTTTGGAAGCAGGTACTGCAGTTTGTATTACAGAGGTGAAGTAGATTGCTCAAGGTCAGGTCAGGTCAGTGGCCTCTTGGAACTAGATACTGTCTCTGATTCCCTTTTTTCTTGTTTGTACAGTTGCTGAGAAGGGTTTCCCTGGTGGCTCAGATGGTAAAGAATCTGCCTGCAATGTAGGGGACCCAGGTTCAATCCCTGAGTTGGGAAGATCCCCTGGAGAGGGGAATGGCCACCCACTCCAGTATTCTTGCCTGGAGAATTCCATGGATAGAGGCTTCGTGAGTCCTTAGCATGGCAAAGAGTTGGATACAACTGAGCGACTCACACACTGTTGCTGAGACTCACAGTTCCTATTTGGGGAGGGTTCCACCAGAAACTTGATGCTGATGAACTTGAGGTAATCAGAGTTATAAAACTTAGGTGGGAACACATCTCACAACAGTGATTTTAGGAAAGAAACTTTAAAATCAATGGGAAGACAGATCCTTTTTTTCCCTTTACCCTTGAGAGGCAGGTGGAATAAAGTGATCTATGATAGAACATGTGTATCAAGGGATTACACAAAGTATAACAGTTTCTGGCTACTGAAGGTTGATGTTACAAAGCTGAAAACAGTGGGCTGAGAATAGTTTTTGTGAAAACTGCCTTGGAAACTAGACCAAAAATAGAATTAATTAGGTTGGGGTTTGTTTTGTTTTAGCACTGGTATAGTTTAGAACCAAGGAAATACCAGCTTCCCCATGATCACTTCCTTAAGTGGGAGAAAATTACAAGCTTTTAAAAAGAAAAAACATGTTCAAGGAAGCCATCCATAAAATAACTTTTGAAGCAATTAGTTTCTTAATACCCTAATACTACATGTAAAATGAAAACTACTTCTCTGGTTTGATTGGAGCCATTAGAACTGCTGTCTCTAGCTATGTGTGAGTGGGTTATCTCACTGCATTTTTATTTGTAAGTGCTGCACTGTTAGGTTTTATTGTCAACCTTAATTTATCCATAAATTTACAAACTTGTGAATATGTATGATCACAATGCACACAATATATGTTTTATGTTTCTGTTAGTTTTCATTAATACATACCTAGCTGGATTCTCTTTTCTGAGAGTAGATGGTGCCATGTGTAACCAGTTCTGTTAAGATTTCTAAATCATCAAGGGTGAGCATTTTTCAAACTATATCTAAAATATTGCATCCTTTTAGAATTTATCGCAAGGAACTTTTGACTTGGCAAGCTCTGAGTCATTGAACTCTATCCTCTCTCTGTCCTTGCTTATCACGGTGTATATTTGAATGCACCTGTATTTCCAGGTCAAGGGCCATTATAAAATCAGCCTGCACATCGGAGGCTGGTTAATATTTGGTTCATTTAAACTCTTCTAAGTGCCTTCTCTAGTCAAGTTACAGTAAAGGCAAAAACACTTACGAAATTAATGAAAGAAGTACAGGAAGTGTGTTGTATTCTGCTATTATTGTACACTCCCTTGCCATTTTGTAGTCTTTTTACAATGGTGTTATTAACATGACCTTCTCTTCCTTCAGGACTTGGAGACTTTTTCTGAGAGAAAGCTCTGTGCTCCAGGGCATTAGCAAGTGAAAATGTTCCCAGTTGCTAAATGCTGGATTAATACTTAAGAGATAGCAAGACCACTCCCTCAAGGAACCCCCCCCCCCCCACCTCAGGAGACACACATAATTAGACTTAATAGAAGTCTGAACAAGCCTTCTTTACTTTGCTCTTAGCAAAGAGGGCATAGCTGGACACTATATGGAGACAACAGGAAAGGCTTGAAAGAGGAGATGAGGATTGAGTTTGGAATTAAAAGATGCCTGGGGACTTGCTAGGTAGACAGGTGTTAGGGAAAGGCATTCTAGGCAAAGGGCACATGGAACTGTTTCTTCAATTAGCATTCTAGGCACAGTGAACTGAGCTTAGTCTGATAGTCCTGGAGTATAAACTATAGTATAAACCCCTCCCAAGGAGGGGTTGGGAGTTTAAGGGTCTTGTGAGGGAGGTTAAGCCTTCTTCTGTGGACTCCTGGAAGCCACTGAGTTTTTGCAGAGGCATTAGCCTGTCATTCTAGCAGCAGTTTGGAGAAAGTGTTGAAAGGGGAAGAGAACTGTCACAGAGAAACCAAACAGGTGTGTATTGCAAATGCTATACATATGAAATAATGAGGGCACGTCCTAAGTCTGGGAAGAGTGGAGGAGTAGGGGCTGAGAGACAGGAAGCATCTCTTAGATGATGGTGATGGGACCCTAGACAAGGGTAAGACTAATAAAAGAGCCCGCTGGAGACACATTTTGGTCCACGACTTCAGAGACTTAAAAAAACAAAAATGGGCAGTTTTGCAGGGTTTTTGCAGGTGATGCAGGAGACAGGTGAGTTGAGTGGGGCAGGTATGGCATTCTCTAAAGTAGGGAAGTGGCTCCAGGTGGTGGTGGGAACGGAACTGAATGTCAAGTCTAGAGGAATGATGCCGAAGCTCTAATAACTTAGCTACCTGATGGGATGAGCTGACTCATTGGAAAAGACCCTGATGCTGGGAAAGACTGAGGGCAGGAGGAGAAGGGGACGACAAGAGGATGAGATGGTTGGGTGGTATCACCGACTCAGTGGACATGGGTTTGAGCAAGCTCCAGGAGATAGTGAAGGACAGGGAAGCCTGTCATCCATGGAGGAGGCAAGGGGTTGGACAGGACTTAGTAAGTGAACAACAAGAGACTTTTGGTTAGGATGGAGAGGAGAGAACTGAAGACCGAGCCGTGGGAGGTGCCCATGTTTACAGTAGGGATAGAAATGTAAAGAAGACGCCAAGATAAAGAGATCCTGAGAGCTAAAGGAGGAGGAATTGCTTAGAAGATATTGTCATTAGTATTTAGAAATGAGGAAGAGGTGGAGAACATGGGATTTAGCCCAAGTCCTTCATAGAAGCTGAGGTTTAGGCCGAGGAATGTGAGAGGTAAAAATTGGTAGTAATTGTAGAAAGTGCCTGTGAAAGGAGCACAGAATAGCAGCTAGAGAGGACAGAGGATCGAATAAAAATTTCCTTTTTCAAACAAGGAAAGACAAGTATTTATATAAAGAGGTCAAGTGAGAGTGAAGATGCTGACAAGGGTGGGCTGTCCCTAGGAAAAAGAAAGCAGACGTAGTGTGGAGAATACAGATGATCGGGGTATTCAGGAAAAGGAAAGAAGGAATTGAGGTTAGATACAGAAACATTTTGAAAAACAGAAGGGGGAAATGAGTGTTTGATGCTTTAAATTTTCCCAATAAAGTAGGGTCTGAGAACCACAGAGCTTCAAGAGACCTTAGAAAAATTTAGTTCAACTATACATATGTGTATATATGTGCGTGTGTGTGTATTTTTAAATAATAAACTTGCCTTAGACTGTGTTTGTTATTACCCAAAATGACCTCAGACAGGTGCAGAGGTGGAGCTAGAACTCATCTCTGACTGGGACACTATTGGAATGTCATTTTAGAGAGTGATCAAGAGGCCACCGGCAGAATCATCAAACTCAGTGAAGATTCAGTTGAGTTAAAATGGCACACATTTGTTTTGTGCTGCGTTATCATAGTTCCTAACTCAGTAGCGGTAGTAGCAATACTTTGGCCACTTGATGTGAAGAGCTGACTCATTGGAAAAGATCCTGATGCTGGGAAAGATCAAAGGCAAAAGGAGAAGAGAGCAGCAGAGGATGAGATGGTTAGAGAGCATCACCAACTCAGTGGACATGAGTCTGAGCAAATTCCAGGAGATAGTGAAGGACAGGAAAACCTGGTGTGCTGCAACCCTATCCTAACCCTATCCTAACCCTAACCGTATGGGTTAGGAATATTTCCCATTTAATAGCTGAGAATAAGAAAGGGCTTCTGTGGTGGTTCAGTTGGTAAAGAATCTGCCTGCAATGCAGGAGACCCACATTAGATCCCTGGGTAGGGAAGATCCCCTGGAGATGGAAATGGAAACCCACTCTGGTATTCTTGCCTGAAAAATCCTATGGAGAGAGGAGCATGGCAGGCTACAGTCCATGGGGTTGCAAAGAGCTGGACATTACTGAAGAGACTTAGCACTGGAAACAGTGAAGAGACTGAGAGAAAATGCTGAAATC